ACGTTATGTTCCTAACATAGCAGTTAAATCAAACATCAAAAATCAAATAACCTAGAACATGTGTTACTTAGCCCAAACAATCAAAATACCGACAATAAATTCAATGGCCTAAGTGGAGTATTTAAGGATGGTGATACCCTACAAATTAAAACGTGCCTAAATCTAATGCAACCAAATAATCAAAATAAATCTATATGCTATGCGATGCAGAAAGCAAAATAAATAAAAGGGTTAGAAGATTGGGTTGCCTCCCAATAAGCGCTTAATTTATAGTCTTTAGCTAAACTGTACGGAGAAATTGATCAGGGTGGTTTAAACATGTATCTTGAGTTTTTGCACTCCTTGCAATTTTCGGCTTTGCATCCTCGTTTTGCCTTCCAAACTTTGAACCCTCCGTTCCTCTCTCGTCCAAGGCTTCCTAAATTTTTAGGCTTTGTCTCCTTCGAGCCTTGTTGCACCTTTACAGTAATATAATTGGACTCCTCCTTAGTTTTTTTTATTGATCTCTCTATGTACTGGATTCTCGATAGTGTTTTAGATCTTAAAATTCTCTTGTTTATCTTCCACTCTCAATGTTAGTTCGCCACTTTCAAAGTCCATGACAGCTCGGCTTGTTGATAAGAAGGATCTGCTCAAGATAAGTAACGCTGCATCCCATGGCTTCTCTATATCTAGGACAACAAAATCAATGGAGAATATAAAACTTCCTACTTTAATGAGCACGTTCTCAACCACTTCTCCCGGGTATTTGATTGATGTGTCTGCTAATTGAAGAGAGATAAATGTATCCTTTAGCTGTTCCAATCCTAATTCCCTACATATAGAGTAGGGCATTAGGTTTATATTTGCTCCTGAGTCACATAAATAATTAAAATTTGAATCATTCCCTATTGAGCAAGGTATTTTGAGACTCCCTGGATCTTGTAGCTTAGGAGGTAATTTATTATGCAATATGGTACTACACTCCTCATTTAGCTTGATGGTCTCGAAATTTGTAAGCCTTTTCTTTTTGGATAGAATCTCTTTCAGAAACTTTGCATAGTTTGGTATTTGAGATATAGCTTCAATTAGTGGAATGTTCACATGAAGCTTCTTGAAGATATCCAAGAACCTTGCAAACTGTTCTTCCAACTTCATCTTTTGCAATCTCTGTGGAAATGGGACAGGAGGCAAATGAGGTTTGATATGGGCGATTGTCTTAACCTGTAGATTTTCTAACTCTTGATGTGAAACTATTTTATCTGGCTATTCAGATTTATCCACTTGCTCCTCATCTATGGAAGGTACTTTTTGATTTACTTTAACCCGTCTTTCGACTGTGATTTCTGGAAATTGAATTCCACTGCATGTAGTGATTATCCCAACCTCCTCATTCTCTACAACTTTTACTACCATTACCTGCTGCTTCGGATTTATCTCAATGTCGCTTGACAATGCTCCTTGTTGTCTTTCTGAGAGTGCTTTAGCTATTTGTCCCATTTGATTCTCCAATTTTTTTATGGTAGCATCCTGAACTTGCAAGCTCTTATCCGTTCTCTGCATATGTTGAGTGGACATTTACGCTAACTTAGTCACAAGATCTTCTAACGAAGTCTTCTTCTCATTCTGCTGAAATTCGGGTGGTGCGGTCTGCTGTGGAGCAAAGTGAGCTCCCTGATTATTACTCCATTAAAAACCTAGGTGATTTCTCCAGTCTGGGTAATATGTGTTAGGATTTGTATTGTGTTGTTGCCTTTGAAAATTCTAAGTGTAGTTCACGTCATCTATCGTCTGAGCAAAATGAGATCCTACGTTACAATCAACACTCTCGTGGTTCCCTCCACAATGTTTGCATTTCGGCCACTGTCTGGGCTACACTCATCTGATCTACCTTTTGTACCAATGATGCCAATTGTGCTGAAAGTGCTGTTAAAGAATCAACTTCGAATACCCCAACAGCTTTCTTTCCGCTCGTTCTTTCAGTAGGCCAAAGTGCACTGGTAAATGCCAAATCCTCCATGATTTGGTAGACCTGGTCCGTGGTTCTTTTTGTGATAGAACCATCACACGCAGAGTCTATGTTTGCCCTGCTAATCAGGTTCAAACTAATGTAAAAGTATTGCACTTGAAGCCATTTCTGCAATCCGTGTTGTGGGCACTGGCGAAGTAAACCCTTGTATCGTTCCCAAGCCTCTGAATAGCATTCTGAGTCCATTTGCTGAAAAGTAATGATCTTGTCCCTTAGCCTTGCAATCCTTTTTGGTGGGAAATATTTACTACGAAATTTCTGACTCAATTGGATCCATGTCGTGATGCTCTGCGGTGGGCAAGTGTCTAACCATTCCCTTGCTGAATCCCTCAATGTGTATGGGAAGAGCCTTAGTCTAATTGCTTCTCTTGAAACCCCCGGATACTCAATTGTTGCACACATGTCGAGAAATCTTGATATATGACCGTTGAGATTCTCTGTAGCTTTCCTAAAAAATTGTAGCGCATTTTGGAACATGTTGATGACATCTGTCCTCAGGTGGAAGTTTGCCTGACCAAACGTCGGATATACGATACTGGACTGGCTTTCCACTATCGGTGGAACCATATACTCTCCCATGAGCCTTGCATTTTCATTGACTACAGTGATATTCGATTGTGCTACTCCTAGATTAGCCCCGATGGCTAATTGATTCGGATTTTCGTTTGCCATGTCTTCCTCTTTCTATTTTTGATGTGTTTCAAGTTGTTGTCTTCTTCGAAAGTTGAATGTTCGTTCGATTTCTGAGTCAAATTGAGCAAGATCACCAGTTCTTGAACTTCCATACAAAGTCTTGAAAAAGAAAGTAAGAAACACTGTAAAAATTTTCTAAATTAATGAACTAAACTAAAAATAAGAAAAATTCAGATTAAAGTTAAAATTAACTAAAACTAGTCAAAAACAATAGTCCCCAGCAACGCCTCCAAAAACTTGATCGATTGATTACCCGCAAGTGAACGAGATCGTGAACAAGTAATAAAGTGGTGTGTAGAGTATCGAACCCACGATGAATATGTATTTGATCAAGTTAAAGCTAATAATTCCCTCAATCGAATAGCAAGGTCGAGTTGTAACTAACACTATTAAATCTATCAACTAAATAGAAAGCAAGTAAAAGTTTATCAAATTTGCGAGAAGTATTGCTAAGATGTGGAATCCCCTTGCTACTCCATTTTTAGTTCGACAATTTAAATTGACAATTTAAAATCATGCTTGTTGGTCAATGTTCCTATTTTAATTGAAAACCTCTCTCGATAGTTATCAAATATATTCCCCTCATGCGACCTTCCTATCCCTCGATGAAAGATGCGAACATGATAAATGCATTAAACGAGCTAGATTATCTTATAAAAACCATATGAAGCATAGAGGTATATCTCCATCTTCTATCGAACCTCACAATCTTTATTATTTTGTGCTAATGATCCTATTGTCTCTCTTGATAACAACAAAATTCACAAACAATTCAACTATTGGCCAATTAATTGAAAGACATGAAAACGATAATAAACATCCAAATAATTAAACAAATTAACGTCAATTAAATTATTCAAATTAAAAATTCTTAACAAGGGTTCATCACATCCTAGCAAATATGAAAAATTAGCCTAACATATTTAAATTACAAGAAATCATGTATAAGTGGAAAGACATAACCCGGATTTTTCATAAATTGAGAAGATGAAAAAAAATCTTGAAATTTTGAATCTCTTCAATAGTTTCTTAATAAATCTCCACTTGCGTTCTCTCTTCTTTGTCTGATACCAAGTTTGAATCTTCACTTGATTGAATTCTTGCAAGTCCCCTTCAATTCTCTCACAAAAAATAATGAATTCTATCCTCCTTTGATGATGATAATTGATGAATATATAGGAGTATATTATGTATAAGAGAAAAGTATGAGAGCCCCCTTTGTGTATTATCCTGTTAAGTATCTGTAGTGGTCAAAAATTGGTGAAAAATCACGTCCAAATTGGTTTCCAAAAGAGTTCCAATTGAATAAGGAAAGTCACACTCGTGCGCGTTGTCTCTGCATAGCAGTCAGTATTTTGATCATAACTTTGTCTCCTGATATCCGATTGAGTTTTTCAAAATGCGTTAGAAAGATAACTAAAAGGGATACAATTTTCTAGAAATAGGTGTATTCCAATTCGGACGTTTACTATGCCAAAAATTGGTCGCAATCCTTGGGTAAAAATCTGAAAAATATATCATGTAATTGGAAGTCAATTTATGGTAATATTATGATGATATTCCATTCCTTTTTTTATTTCTAATTGCATCCAATTGACTCCCATCAACCTTTAAAATAAATCTTATGGTCCAATTCAACCATTGGATATTTGCAATTTTGTCCTCAACTTTGTACTTCGCCATTTTGGGCCGTTTTTCACTTCTTTCTTTTGGTTTAACTTCCAACCATCGAGTTTTACCTAATAAATGAAATATACAACAATTTAGGCTATAATTACTTTAAAGAACTATTAAATGTCTATATTTTTAGGTTTACATAAGTGTATAAAATACACTTATCAAGGAGGAATGCAATCGTAAACAAAAATATTTCAAACGAAATGGTGGTCTTTTATTACGGGAACAAATATCTACTAAAGAAGGCCATGTAGAAAAAATAAGACTTTTCACAGCTAAGGAGTTATCAAAGGCAACCGATCAGTTCAATGAAAGTAGAATACTTGGACGAGGAGGTCAAGGTACAATTTATAAGGGCATGTTATCTAACAGGAGAACTGTTGTAGTAAAGAAGTCCAAGTTAGTAGGTGAAAATCGACTGGATGAGTTTATAAATGAGGTCGTAATCCTTTCTCAAATTAACCACAGAAATGTTGTTTCGCTACTTGGATGTTGTTTGGAGACAAAAGTTCCTTTGTTGATTTACGAGTTTATTGCTAATAGAACCCTCTTCAATCACATCCATAACCCGAGTGCTAAGTTTCCTATGACATGAGATACGCGCCTAAAAATTGCAGCAAAGGTAGCAGGAGCTCTCGCTTATTTACATTATTCAACTTCCACACCCATTTATCATGGGGACATCAAGTCGAGCAATATCCTTCTAGATGAAAACTATAGACCCAAAGTGTCAAATTTTGGAATTTCAAGGTCTATCGCAGTAGATAAAACTCACTTCACCACCTTAGTTAAGGGGACCTTTTGCTATCTAGATCCAAAATACTTTCGGCCAAGCCAATTTACTGATAAGAGTGATGTCTATAGCTTTGGTGTTGCTCTTATTGAGCTCTTATCAGGACATAAACCAATAATTTCAAGTGATATAGAAGATGAAAGAAGTTTAGCTGCGCATTTTCTTATGTCTATAGAACAAAACTGCCTTCATAAATTTTTTGACCCTATAATTTTAGAGCATGATAAAGATGAAGACATTATTACTATTGCTACTTTAGCATATAGATGCTTGGATTTGAATGGGAAGAAAAGGCCAACAATGAAAAAAGTCAGCATGGAATTGGAGAATATCGGGCTATTTAAGGGGCAAGCAACTGTCCAAAGTAATACGCAAGTAATCAGCACTAAAATGGGATCAGTATCACTATCAGACCTCAACTCCACATGGACATCTCGTGATCGTGAGAGCACTGTACCATCAGAAACCAATCCCTTGCTACATTACACTGTTTGATGGAACTAGCATGCATGTTTTATGTTCTTGCAATTAGGACTAAAACAAAGTTGGTTTTATTATAAAAATAGTAATAAAATATATTTTTGTGACTTTTCTGTTACAGTCAGATACAGTAATTCAAAATTTGTTCCCAGATGGAGAGAATAGAGAATGGGAGGAAAAACTGAGGCACACAAGTATGGGCATTGGGACCTTTAGGATTAGTCTCTGCGAAGATTTTTCTTTATTCAAATGTTAAGGTTCTTAAGATTACATTTTGGAAAGTGATTCGAACATGAACATGTGTTAAGAACGCCTAATAAATTTCTTAGATTACAGTTTTGGAAAGGCATTACAATAATGGGTTTAACGTTTACAAAATTAAAACAAAAAGACATAATACTTGAGATCTACAAGTATTATCCATTTTTCCACAGCTCATTTCTATATATCTTATAATTTAAATTGAAATGGTGGTGAATAATACCTCCTGATCTACCTGGTGGCCATTGGCGTTCTTGCTACTTCGACGAGCGTATACAACCTGAAAAGTGAGGACGGGGCTTTCTCCCTCATTTAACCTTCGACATAAGAATCAGTATGTGTTAGGAAAAATAAGGATGGAGTTCAGATGGCTAAAAAATGTCAATCTCCTTACTTGTGTCGCCTTCGAGAGTATTTATAGGTGCTGAAAGTTGGGTGAATGCCGGGCGATCAAGGTACCACGTGTCCCACGTTGGCTTTTCCACTACCCCACATTCTCCTGGGGGATCTATAACTTCCCTCTTGGAGGTTGTGCCCATAATAACCGCCATGGAGCTTTGTTAATTTACCTGATATTTTTTGACTAAGTGTTAGGGTGGCCACATAGGTCACTTCCGGGGGGTAGATGATTTTTCGTAAAGGTAGAGCACTCCGGGGGGTCGATGGCCTCGCGTGAAAGTAGAGTGCCCCCGGGGGTCGATGGCCTCGTGTAAAGGTAGAGCGCCCTCAGGGGTCAATGACCTCGCATAAAGGTAGAGCGCCCCGGGGGGGTCGATGGCTTCGATTTAAAACTACCGCAAGTGTACGGCTCGTTAACAAGTAATAAAGTAGATTAAATGAGTCTGAATATCATCCCGCAAAGATTAATTAGTTCAATTTTACCTATCGCTGCCTTAACTGAAACTAAATTACTAAAGTAAATGTGAACCTAATTAAAATCCTAATTTCGAAAAGAAAACCCTAATTATGCAATTTTTATGATTGAATTAACTTAAATATAAAAAATAATATTTTTAACACTCTAAAATGAAATCAAATGTTGAGAACACACGTTTGTTGTAATCAATAGAAATTAAACACACTAGGATCACAATTTTTAATGCAATTATCACTTTAAAACCCTAGTTTCAGAATGTGACAACACACTTCAATTGTGACGAATCAATGTTCCTAAGTCTATCCAATACTCTCTCTCGAGATGTATCGAACCTATTTCTACATACCACTAGCCTATATTTCTATGACAAGTGTAAATGTAAAAATGCATGCGATTTTATGAACACCTAAAAATTCACGTAGGGCATAGCAGTATATTTCTATCCCCTATCAGACCCTAAGATGATTTATATTATGTCGAACCTATTCCAATTCTCTCGAATGTAAGAATAAATTACCCAAACTCACACAATTATGGGCCCTTAATTGCAGAAACAATAATTGCATATAAATCATTCAAAACAATAGAAATATGTCTTGATGTCAAATTGCAAAACTAGAAAATTAAAGATCAAATTACTTGGTACATCGATCTCCTAGCACATGAAAATCTAGCCTAACATGGTTAAAATAAAAGAATATATTAGACTTTGGATAAAAGGCATCACCGGGTCATGAAATCTTGAGAAATCTTGAAGCTTTTCGTGTAAATCTTCGTTCTTGCACTCAAAATCCTCTCCAAGAAGTGTTTTTGTGCATCCAATATGTTCTGCCTCTTTCTGGACGTCTTTTAATATTTTTATCGCACGAAAATTTGGTTACCAAAAGAGTTTCAGTCGTATAAGGAAACTACAGAATCAACCCCGAATCTTTGTTCTATGCGATCACATAGTAAATTTCTATGCGGTCGCATAGAGTAAAAAGATTTGAGAAAAAATTCTCGGGAGGCCTCTATGCAACCGCATAGAGGATAGCATAGTGCTACCAACTATGCAGAATGTCTATGTTGGTTCTTAAACTTTCATTTTTCTTCATTTTAGTCCCTTTGCAATTCCTTCTTCTTCCAATCATCTTGTATCGCTTTCGAGTTCATACTTAGCATATTTGCATACCCAGGTTGCCTTTTAGTTCAACTTTTGAATATTTGCATCCTTAGTCCCTGAACTCTCACTTTGCTCCATTTTAGTCATTTTTTGGCTCTTTTCTCCTGAATTCCACCATTTCCATAGAAACACCTACATTGCATGAATTCAACAAGATTAAGTCAAAATTTAAACATTTTGCTTGTAATTAAATCATGTTTGTGATCTAAATAAGTGTATCAAACCCCCCAAACTTGAACTATTGTTTGTTCTCAAACAAGATAGTGACTTAATTCTGAACAAACATGGTTTAATTCCTAGTCATGGCTCAGGATTGGACTAAGTATTTGACTTTATGACAATTTATCAGCGCAAAAATGACATCAACCTTTACCTATTAAATGCATACTTGAGGTGTGTGTGTGTGTGAATTCATGCCAACATATCAAATTCATGATGGGTTGAGTCTCGACCCCAAGTGGTCAAATGTATCCTTACTTGCTCAAGAGATAAACAACCCCCCAAACTTACTCTTTTCATTCAATTATCCAGAGGTTGTGTTTTAAAATTTGGAGTTTACATAGCTGTAGTCCTCACCCTCTCGTAATTTAGATTAATCTCACTATCACAAGTTTACATTTCAACAAGTGAAGGCTCTCCCAAGTTTGATTGCTTCGACGCTCAAGATTAAAATAGGTTACTTGCCTCGCCTCAAAGGTATAGTTTCCTGAACCAAATGTCTAAGGGCTTTTCTTCATTTTATTGTCTCTCTTTTATTTTTCTCACTTTCCATTTTTTTTATCATCTTCTCATTTACTTTCTATATAACCCATGTAACGAGCTTTAGACTAGTTACTCCTAGGCCAGTTGACCTTAGGGCACCAGGTTTTAAACCCTTGCAGGCTTATTCACTCGAGTTATAAAGGAATGATCAGATGACTTTTGATTAACCTCTTTCCCTCTTGCTTTCTATATGACCCCTTTAGCGAGCTTTAGGCCGGTGACTCCCAAGCCAGTTGACCTTAGGACATCAGGTTTTGAAATATTCTTACAGGTTTACTTGCTCGAGTCATAAATGCATGAAAAGAAGTGTCTTATTCTCACAAATTAATTTTATACCCTTATTGTTCTAGACATTTAGTTTCCAAAACCAATCCCCAATTTAAGATTTTCACCTAATCTTCACCTCACTGGTCTAGGCAATCCACACAATAAAATTTCATGCACGAATCCCCCGCATATCTCAATGCTCCCTATAAGAGATCAACCAATTCCAAACTGTCTTAAGGTGATTTACGTGTTAATTCAATACAGGGTTATCATATTCCTTTCCTACTTTATGCTCAAAATCTAGTCATTCACCTAACATGTCAAGCATGAATAGCGTGCATAGATAATGTCAAGTATTGCATCACAAGTATTAATTAATCTATTCAGCACTATATCCAAAGTTCATAAATTATACCAATCCAATAATCACATCATAGCCGGCAAGGCTATCAAGCCCACACAAGCATGCAAAAGTATAATCAACACTCACTCATCAAGCATGCATCATGCAACAATTAGTTAATAATAACAACGGACTGTGAAAATGCAAAATAATTGCATGCTGACTATTTGTTTTAAATTATGCCACCATCCTCCAAACTTATACAGTACATTGTCCTCAATGTAAAAATTAAAGTTTAAATGACATAATTTAAGAAAAAACATGAACACAAAATAGTAAAATGAGGTAAACAAGACTCCCCTGATCAATACGGTGGTTGTGAGGGAGGCTGGGTCCTGTAGCATCATCTCCAGAAGGGGAAGGAAGGCGGGATAAAATCTCTCTCAATAGGCCAGACTGTTGGGTCTGCTCCACCTACATGGCTTGAACCCTGGTCTCCAAGCTTCCTAAATGGTCCCATGTCTCATTCACTAGCCACTGTATACCATCCATCCTGCCAATGTACATTCCCAATCTCCCATCAAAAGTACTCATCTCTCTTCTTGCTACAAGGGACTCACTGGTGGCATTGGATGCAAAGTTTCTTGTGATTGCCATATCATTCTGCATTTGCTAGATGGTGGTACTCATTGCTCCAAATGATTGCTGAAGACTCTACATGTCTCGACTGTGTCCTGTCATAGTGGCAGCCATTTGCCTCAATAACTAGGTATCAATGTCAATCGGTGGTGGAGGAACTTGTAGCATCTCGAAGTTCTCAGCTGCTTGTCCTTCCTCAGCCTGTTGCTATCGGCGTCGCTCGTTTTCTAACTTCTGTTGATGTTTAACTCTGGCTTGGTCCTGTGCCTCTAGTGTGAGGCGCTTGATATAGGGACTTAGTTTTTCTGATGCTTCCCCATACTGGACTTGTATGCCCGCAGCTCTACATATCCTACTTATCAAACTTAGGAAAATCAGTGAGGTGTACTTGTCTCTCCATGTGCCTTATTCTGTATCTGGTTGTAGATGTATGTGACCAAATCAATCTTATTTCCCCGAAATGTTGTCCTATAGGATATGGGCTCGATGTTGTAGCATATGAATAACCATAGGATAGCTAGAGATGGGATAAGATCAATCTGATACCAATCTGCAGTCGGTAGAGGCCAAGCATTCTCACGTCCCAATAATACTTCTACAACCTCAATCCAATTGAAATTATGTGGGACGAGGACCACATTATTTCAGATTAGCTAATAATAGTCATGAATCACTTCTGGTGAGAACATAATCCATTTACCCCAAACCCATGTTCGATGTAGATGATTTGATCTAGGAGTGTCGATTTCTGTATTGAAGTTGGCATAGAACTCCTTCACCAGATTTTCATACACTGGATGCGATCTTTCAATTACTTTCTCCCAACCATAGTTGTGAATTAAGTAAACTAATTCGAAATCGAGGAAGTCTTCCAACTTAACTGTCCTTTCGGGGATGAGTGCCCACTCACGGACAACATTGGCGTAACGGGCTGCTGTGTCTGAGGATAGAAATCTTCTGACATCTCCTTCGGGCTCTTTAGTTCGGGCTGTGCCAGATGCAGAACTAACCTTCTCTTTTCCTTTTGATGTTCTCTTTGGCAACATTCTACAAAGGTAAGAAAAGAGGTGTATCAGGCTATTGACTTATGATAATTAAGAAAATGAGAGAGGATGGTTGTGAAGTGCAAAATCCCCTAAACTTGCTTCAACATGCATGTATAACACATTGGTGTGCAAGCTTCAAAACATGATATTCAAGATAGTAGAAATACTGCACCAAAAGGAAAAACTAAGAAAACTAGGTCGAAACATGCACATTTTAAAAATTGGATCCATGACCGAGTACGCACTTTTGGCCCTGGGCATCATCAAGAATTATCGACATTTTCCCGGCAATCTCTGAGCATATGAAATAATTTAATGAGGTCTAGCACAAACTCAATTTTCAACTCAATTGGATGTCGTTTGGTGTGTCAAATGATTGTGTAAAGTAGGGGACGTAAGGTGTCGTGACCTAGTCATGTGCATGTGTGTTGATGTTGGGTGTTGGTGTTTTCTAATTCAAATTGTGTGGTAATACATCACAAAAAGGTAATCCATTCAAACATCAATCACATGCCACACTAGATGCACAAAAATGCAATAGAAGTTTAACTTAGGCATTTTATCGAACATATTGTGTGCACTATGAAATTTTCCAATTTTGGTTATTGATGCTTTGTCAATTGGCTCCACATTCACATATTAATCACAAACCCAATTGGCTCCACATTCACATATTGATCACAAACCTAACACGCAATCCTTGTCAATGACTGAAAATTTAGACAACCCAAATCCCAAATTTTGAAATTGTAAAGTAATGTGTATGGTGCTTACCTTGGAAACTTTAGTAGACTTGTGGGATTTGAACCCTTTGCTCACTTCAAATGTGTGATGGAATAAAAATTGGTGTGTGTTTGTTGTGTTGATGTTGTGGGTTGAGGGTTTGGGAGAGATGTGAGTGCGTGTATGTGTGTGGGTGCGAGAGATGAACGAAAGGAGAGGAAAGGGGAATGAGTGAAAGTGAACCGGTCATGGTTTAAATCCTTGACCGATTCACCACTATGCGGCCGTATAGTTTTAACCTATGCGGTCGCATAGTGATATGGTTGCCCCCTCAATTTTTTTTAAGAACAAAACAAAATAAAATACAAACATTGATTCCCCCTCTTTGAACTCTCTAGCACACATTTGTCCTTTAGATTTTTGAAAACGTCATTTTGTCTTGAAATGAGTGAATTATGCTCTCAATTACCCAAAACCATTTCAAGCTTATCGAACATGTGTTTTATGCCTAGGAATTCATGTGAACGATACTTAGATTTTATTGACATGCATAGATGATCGATGACCTATACCTAAAAAATCAAACGTGAAAATCAAAATTTCCTAAGCTAATGCCAAAATTATAAGTAATGAAAAAGATACAGTGGGTTGCCTCCCACCCAGTGATAGTTTATAGTCCATAGCTCGACTTTTCTGCAGCTGCTTTATTCTGGCATCCCAAGTTGAACGGTGGACTTTTAGTTGGAGAAGTCACCGCCCTAGTAGTGTTTCAGCCTTTGCCCATTAACAATGAAAGTACCCTTAGTCTCATGGTTGACTTGTATAGCCCCATATGGTAGGACTTTCATGACAGTGTAAAGACCCGACCACCGTGATCGTAGTTTTCCTAGGAACAGCTTGAGTCTCGAATTATACAATAGCACTTGCTACCCCACTTCGAATTCTTGCCTCTGAATATGCATGTCATGCCACTTCTTGGTTTGTTCCTTGTAGAGTTTTGAATTTTCATAAGCTTCCATTCTAAATTCATCTAACTCATTAAGTTGCAGTAGGCACTTTTCGCTGGCGGCAGTCAAGTCCATATTTAACTGTTTCATAGCTCAATATGCTCGGTGCTCCATTTCTAGTGGCAGGTGGCACGCTTTTTCAAAAACTAGGTGGTATGAAGGCATGCCTATCGGTGTCTTGAATGCTGTCCTGTAAGCCCACCATGTATCGTCCAGCTTTTTAGACCAGTCCTGTCTAGATGAGTTCACTGTGACCTCAAGTATTCTCTTCAACCGCCGATTAGATACTTCAATTTGCCCGCTGGTTTGTGGATGATATGGGGTAGCAACATGGTGTTTAACGCCATATTTATTCAATAGCTACTCAAACTGGCAATTACAGAAGTGTTTGCCCCCGTCACTGATCATAGCTCACGGTGTACCATATCAGGTGAAAATATATTTCTTCAAGAACCCAATTACTGCCTTTGAGTCATTTGTTGGTAGTGTAACTACTTCCACCCATTTTGATACATAGTTCACTGCTACCAAGATGTACTGATTTGAGAATGAAAGGGGAAAAGGTCCCATGAAGTTAATTTCCCAAACATCGAATATCTCCACTTCCAAAATGTTATTCAGCGGCATTTCATTCCTCCTTGAGATATTTCCAGTGCGTTGACATCTGTCACACCTCTTGACAAACTCAAAGGTGTCTCTAAACAGTGTAGGCCAGTAGAACCCTGATTGTAGAATTTTGCAGCTGTTTTCGAAGCCCCAAAGTGCCCTGCATATGCAGATGAGTGGCAATGCTTGAGAATCTCATGTACTTTTTCCTCAGGTATGCATCTCCTTACTATCTGATCAGCCCCTCGCCTATAGAGAATTGGATCCTCCCAGAAATAATACTTTAATTCGGCGAAGAACTTTTTCCTCTGGTGACTTGAGTAGTCCGGCGAAGTAATTGACGATATCTGCGTACCAAGGTGCTTCATCTACTCTCAACATCTGCTCATCTGGGAAGATCTCATTGATGTCCACTAATTCTTCTGTCTTCCCAGGCTCTAATTGGGATAGGTGGTCCGCTACTACATTCTCACTGCCCTTCTTGTCTCATATCTCGATATCAAATTCTTATAGCAACAGCACCCAACGAATCAATCTCGGCTTTGTATCCTTCTTTGTGAGTAGATACTTCAATGCAGCATGATCTGTGTAGACGATGACTTTAGACCCGACAAGGTATGATCGAAATTTGTCGAATGCGTATACCACGGTCAATAGCTCCTTTTCAGTGGTGGCATAATTGATTTGCGCATCATTTAGAGTTTTGCTTGCATAGTAGATCACATGAAAAATCTTGTTCCTCCGCTGTCCTAATACTGCACCCACGGCGTGTTCACTGGTATCACACATCAATTCAAAAGGCAGTTTCCAGTCTGGTGCCACGATTACTAGTGCTATCGTGAGCTTCTCCTTTAAAGTGTTGAATGCTATGAGACATTCCTCATTAAACTCAAAGGTTATGCCTTTCATTAGTAGATTGTATAACGGCTTAGTGATCTTCGAGAAATCTTTTATAAATCTCCTGTAGAACCCCGCATGCCCCAAGAAGCTGCGAACTCCTTTAACTGATGTAGGCGATGGTAACTTCTTAATAACTTGAATTTTTACCTTGACCACCTCAATTCCTTTTGCCGAGATCCGATGCCTGAGCACAATATCTTCCTGCACCATAAAGTGGCATTATTCCAATTTAAAACCAGGTTAGTCTTCTTGCATCTCTATAAGACCAAATTTAGGTGTTCTAGACATTCATCGAATGAAGATCCAAACATTGAGAAGTCGACCATGGAAACCTCAATAAACCTTTCAATCATATCAGAGAATATTACCATCATATACCTCTGAAATATGGCTAGAGCATTGCAAAGACCAAAAGGCATCCTACGATAAGCAAAAGTGTCGTAGGGGAAAGTTAAAGTGGTCTTCTCCCGATAATCTGGTGCGATAGGTATCTGATTGTAGCCCGAGTACCCATTAAGGAAGCAGTAGTGTGAATGTCCAGCCAACCTCTCCAACACCTGATCAATGAATGGAAGTGGAAAGTGATCCTTTCGTGTAACTGCATTAAGTTTGGATAATCGATGCAAACTCTCCATCCCATAACTGCTCTTGTGGGAATTAATTCATTCTTCTCATTTTCACCACTGTGATTCCCCCTTTTTTCGGCACCACTTGAACTGGACTAATCCATGCACTATCTGAAATTGGGTAGATAATTCCTACATCCAGTAATTTTAATATCTCTATCCTGACTACTTCCTTCATGTTTAGATTCAATCTTCTCTGATCCTCTATACTTGGCTTGCAATTTTTTTCCATTAGAATTTTATGTATACATAGAGAAGGGCTGATCCCTTTAATGTCATCTATTGTCCACTTAATCGTCGTTTTGTTCTCTCTGAGTACCCTGAGCAATTTTCTTCATCC